ATTCCACGCCGGTTTGACCATACAGACCAGATTTTAACGTAGGGGACGTAACACGTGAATGTGTTACTCAGTCAAAAGGGAAACGTCTGTGAACTTAACACTGATATCAAACCCTCCACCCCCCCCCCCTCACCCGGCCCCCTTTCGACTTCCTTAGCATATAAAAACATAATCACTCACAAGGAAAAAACTACAGAGCTCTTCTTTCAGGACAATATAATGCTGTTTCAGCAAAGTAACGAGGCGATTTCTATGTCTCAATTAAAAAATTAAAAACAACATTTGCAAGTGTCATTTTATTACACCGATGTTTTAATGATGATTACACTTACAATTCACAAATATAATGAGATCCATGTATGACATATAAGACAGTGAATTATGCAGTGCATGAGAAACATGTGGTGACAATGACTAATACAAAATATAATTACTTTTCAAATTTCTATTTATTTCATCGTGTCTACTGTTTTAGAAGTAGATTTTGGAATTTTTCTGTAGTCAGAACGTTGCGGCTTTTCAGCTTCTACATGACAAAAGTGTAAGAAACTAAGAGTGAGAACGTTGTACTTTTCAACAACTTTAGTTTGGCCCTTACTAAGAAAAAAGAGTGCAGACAATAGTGAGATAGAAAATACACAAATGAATAAAACAACATTTGATTACTTAAAAACGTCAACGTGTTATATACACTCGTTCTTGGCTTCCTGGACGTCTACTGTATACTCTCTCCTTTGTCAGGATCAGGGACATAATGCCCCTACGCCTCTTCTGAAAGAAAAACGAGAAAAAAAATTATGCATAAATATTTTGAAGAGTTATTGGTCTGATTCTGACCGTCTGGCCTCAACCACAGCTTTGGAAAAAAAATCAACCAAAACAGAATGATGGGATGCTCTCTTCATTTCTCGGAGGCTGGGGAATCTGTTGTTGGCGGTTTTTTCCGCTCTGTCGAATGGTCCTCATTACCATAAAGTTTATTGTTGACCTGTACATTTACCGATCACAAGGCATTAGTGCAGTGTTTCTGAACTAGCTCAGTTTACGTAGTACGCTCTTAATTTCGTTGTCTGTTCACGCCTATGCTAATAAATACTTTTCGATATTTCAAAGATGAAAAAGAATATTGCTCTCTTCGTTTCTACATTCCTGTCGAGCTCATGACCAGCTCTCACATCCCAGCCCCACCCCATTTTCCTCTTCGTCTCTGTCAGAGTCTCTGTTTCTGTCTCCTTCTCTTTCTCTTTCTCTGTCTGTCTGTCTGTCTGTCTGTCTGTCTGTCTGTCTGTCTGTATATCTGTCTATCTGTCTATCTATCTTTCTCTTTATATTTCTCTCTCCACCCCCTCTCTCTCTCTCTCTCTCTCTCTCTCTCTCTCTCTCTCTCTCTCTCTCTCTCTCTGTCTGTCTCTCTCTCTCCCTCTCTCTGTCTTTCTCTCTCTCCCTCTCTCTGATCTCTCTCATCTTCCATATACCTCCCACACTTTCCTTTCTTTCCACACACAGCAAAGACTTCTTCCCCCCTCCCATCCATCATAATGACAGTGTGTAACACTCCTTGTGATCTACACCAGCAGGCCACCCTCCTCACTTTTTTATGATCTCCCCTCACTCCCGAAGGTGGTGATCATTCTGGTACCAATCCTTGGATAAGAGCAGAACTGACAACGCCAAAGGGGGAAGTATTTCCTCATTTCTCTTTCAATTTCTCTTCCACCCCTGTCATAAGGTCAGATTAATCTCGGTGTGAAGAAATTATTTTCTCCTCTCCCTCCCTTTGCTCCCAGCCCCTCGGTTATATCTTACCGTTTCTCGCCTATCGTTATGTTGAAAATTCTTCCTTTCTCTCCTTCTTTCCGCGGCCCATTTTAGAAAAAAAATGTTGCGGGGGAGGGGGTTGTCGTTCTTCTTTTCCTTCAAATTTTATTCATCTTTTCGCCTTCTTATCTCTTTTTCACAGGGCCCCGTTTAAATTCCTCCTCCCCCCCCTCTCTCTCTCTCTCTCTCTCTCTCTCTCTCTCTCTCTCTCTCTCTCTCTCTCTCTCTCTCTCTCTCTTTATCTCTCTCTCTCTCTTTCTCTGTGTGTGTGTGTGTGTGTGTGTGTGTGTCGTTCTGTCAGGCGGGCTCGATATTAGATTCGATTCTAGATTCGGACTTGACTCAGAACAATTCTTCTTTCTAAATCTCCTTTTACCCTCTCAATTCTTTGAGTTTTTCTTTC